AGCATTGTCTTTGGAACACTGGCTACTAGTTACGTGTTCTTGATGAATGTTGTTGCTGTTGTTAGGTGCCATCAAATCAACTTCAATTCATAATGACCCTATGAACAACAGATCTGAACCTGGCCCTATCCCGTGCCATCCCGCTATGCTCCAGCCCATGGTGTCAGTCCCTCTAGTTGAGGGTCTTACTCTCCTCCGCTGACCCTTCACCTTTCCTAGCATGATGTCCTTTCCAAGGACTGGCCTCTCCTAACAGCATGGCCAAAGTAGGTGAGATCAGGTTTCCTCATCCTTGCCTCTGAAGACCAATCTGCTTGCACTTTCTCCAAGACATAATTCATAGATTGCAGAAAGCAAAACAATTTTTAAAATCACCCAACATGGTGACTTACAGGGAGTAGAACTACTTCACAGGGGCCCAAAGCTGTAACCTTCGCAGAAATACACTGCCACACTTTCTCCTGTGGTGGAGCTGTTGGATTCAAACCACTGACGTTTCAATTAGCAACTGACTGCTTGAGCAGGTTGCAGAGTCACGATCAAAGCCAGGCCCACCAGGCACCACAGCTCGCACTCTGACTGCCATGCTGTCTTGATGTGGAGCAGGGTGGAGTCCACTGGGTGGGAGAGCCTCTCGTTTGCCTCTTCTAAGGAGTGGAGTGAAGGAGGCAGAGAAGGGTGTGGGATCAGCAGAGATAAGTTGGAGTGGATGGGGTGCAGGGAGTTCAGGTGTGTGAGGAAGAACCAGTTCTCTACCTAGAGTGAAGGACCATGCAGGAATTGGGGAGTGATGAGAAGACATTGCTAAGGAGTGTGGTGGATCTGGCCCAGGCCAGTGGCCTTGAGTTTAAGATAATGTCTGTCCGTGTGGTGGGCAGTTTTCTCCTCTGTTGCTCAGGGGCAGTGTGGAGAATGCATGCAGTTGTGTGGCCCCTGGACCTAATGGATTCCAGATGGGTGTAGCAGAAAGTGAGTGGGTTTAACACTATTTTCACGAGTGAGGGGTGGCATGAGGCAGTAGGAGTTGGGACTCTGGAAGAGAGGGTGGGGGATGGATAGCTAAGAAGATTCCAGAAGCAGAGCTATTCTGTGTAATAATTATGAGGTGCCCCCCGTGCTGTAGTTACACATGGGCAGTTGCAGCTGACCCTGGTTCATTTAGCAAACAGCATCTCATGGCTGTCTTCCATGGGTTACACATCTATGCTGGGGTAACAATACCAAGCAAGACATGGGCGTGCTTTCTGGAATACAGAAAGGTAGCATTAGCAATGTGGTTTATGAGAGAGAGGCTAGAGGAAGTACATGGATCTCAAGGGTTTGGGGCCGGTTCTTGGCACAGGTTCAAATCCATCAACTACTCTGAGACAGAAGAATGGGCATTCTCTTCCCATGTGATTTAAAGTCTCTGAAACCCCCCTGGAAGATTAGCTAGGAATTAGTTCCTACTCCACAACACGTAACAACAACACAGTTTGTAGGACCCATCATCACAAAATGAAAATGCAGGTCCCGTATCCAGAAGCTGTCACAAATTCAGGATGGCACCAGCAGAGCATGAAACAGAACAAATTTCTCTCTGGGAAGCCCCTGTAGGGCTCACGAAGGTGTCCTGGGTGAAGTGGTGTTTAAGCTGAGATGGGCCAGTTGAAGAGTCAGCTAGATGGAGCGGGTATTTGAGAGTGATCCAGCAGAGAGAAGGGCCTGTGCAAACCACGGAGGAACTGAGACACTCAGCCTGGCCGGCATGTCGCAGAGTGAGAGGACAGTGGGTGGAGAGGATGGCAGTGAGCTGGGGTCCATAGCTAGAAAATGAGTCTGAATAGACCAGAGAAGGGGGCTGAGGGCGACAGTCTGATGAGAATGAAGGAGTAGGAACGTGGAGAGGTGGAGAGGCAGACTCTGCCTTCCAGCCTGGAGAAGCCTCATCTACAGGTTCCAGGGATGTGAGACCATACATCAGGGAGGGCCACACAGGACCTGGGGAAGGTGGGGGCTGCCCCAGCAAGGAACAGGTGGGTAAAGACAAAGATGGACCAGGTGTTTGATAATCAGGCTTGGCTACTGCCCAGGAGGGAAAACCTGGAGGCCATTGGGTTTAACTGACCCCAAGTGGTCAGAGTCTCTGGTCCTACACCTTGATCTTGATCTAGCACCCTCTATTTCCTGACACCCCTGAAGATAGGACCCCATGGGCGTCTTGTCCCAGGGTTGGGTCCAGTTCAGGGCTGAGAGCAGTTGTTCCCAGTGTTATATGTAGAAACAAGAACTTTGTGGGTGGAAATGGTCACTTGAAGTATCTGAGGTCTGAGGGGTTGCCATCCTCTGTGCCGTGATTCCTAGCCCAGACTAGGGGCCTGGGAGGGGACAGAATTCCCAGCCACTGGTGCATGTTGGGCTTTGGGCCTCAGACTAGAAATTCTACTTTGTCTGCCAGCTCTCCAGGAAGGGCCACCCTTCCTGCGGGCCCCAGCAGTGGGGGCTGAGTGGGTGGGTGGGATTGAGTCCTGGTCCTTGGTGGGAAAGACATTGAAGCGCAGGGGCATGAGAGCTGAAAGGTCCGCATGGGAAGCTGTGTCTGAATGCTCCCAGGGAAGCTCTTCCTTCAGGAGTTTTGTGGTCTCCAGGGAGGTGACCCTTGACCCTGTCAGGAAAAGCGTGGACTCAGAATTATTGAGCATCTGAGGTCTGCCCTGAGGACTAGATGTCCTATTTCAGTTGCTTAGCCTTGTGAGAGAGTAGCTATTGTGCCCATTTTGTGGAGGAGAAAATCGAGACTCAGAAAGCCCCTGTCTGAGGAACTCTAAAGTCCAAGTTCTGTGCCCACAGGAGCCCCCAGCCCCCTCCTCAGGGAAAGTTGACCCAGCAAAGACCCAGACGGTGTCCTGATGGCTACTGGGGCCAGGAAGGAGGACAGAGCCTTTTGTTTCCTTCAAAACTTTTGATCCTTGAGAACAAAAACTCCTGAGAGTTGCCCAGAAGTCTCAAAACTCATTGTAATGGAGTCAGAACCAACGGATACCTGCCCCTCCAGTAGGTTTATGGAGGCTGTAAATCAGAGGAGGAAGGAGAATTGCTATATTTCTCCCAAGGCCACACTGGTGAATTTGAACCAGAAAGGCCCTGTCAGTGCCAGCTCCTTCCAGACTAGGCCACGAGAGCTCCATTCAACCAGAAGCAGGTGTAGGGGAACCAACTTAATGTGTAGATTTGTTTTATGAGCCAGCAAGGCAAGAAAAGGGTCATGTGATTTTTGTAATAAACAATCTATAAACCTTAGTCATCTCTCTTTCCTCCCAAGTTCCCAGCATAAGCTTGGCACTGAGGAGAATCGTAAATAATTAATGAAGGGAGTGAGCGGGGAGGACGGGAAGCAGCCGCAGCACCTACTGTGCATCAGGCACAGGCCGTCCACCGTGGCCCCACAAGACTCAGCAGCCCAGGACGCTGTCCCCGTTTTACAGAAGTAGGAAGCAAAACCCAGATATGTGAAGGGACGCCTGCAGGGCAGGGCCCGTCTGGCATTGCTTCTGTCTCCACGGAATTTGCCTCTTAGAGGCAAGGATGGCAAAACCTCATCTCACATTCTTTGATCATCTGGTTAGGAAGAGCCAGTCCTTGGAGAAAGACACACTGGGAAAAGTGTGGGGTCAGAGAAAGAGAGGAAGACCCCCAACAAGATGGTTAGACAGTGACCATAACAATGGGCTCGAGGATGTCAGAGATGGTGAGGGTGGCCCAGGAGAGGGCAGGGTTCGGATCCATTATTCATAGAGTCGTTGAGAGTCATAGTGGACTTGATGGTGACAACAACAACAATCATGTGTTGGAGTAAATGTCCCCTTAGCACCGTTAGATGGGAAGCCTGCTGTGTGTGCTGAGCAGAGGTGAGGCGAATATAAGCTCGGCCTTGAGGTGCTCCAGTCTAGGGAGGGAGCTGAAATACATTCTGTGTGCCTGAGTTATTTACAGACATGGAACCCTAGAGGAGGGAGCTCCAGTGGCCTAGTGGTAAGGAGCTGTGTTGCCAACCCAAAAACATGTGGTTCAAATCCACAGGCTGCTCCACAGGAGAAAGATGGGCAGTCTCTTCCCGTATGATTTACTGCCTCTGTAAACCCACTGGAGGTTGAGCTATGAGTTTGCTGCAGCTCAACACTGCATAATTGCTTAACAATAATAACAAGCCTAGAAGGGGAACCCTGGATTCCCAGGGGACTTGGAGGCTTTTAAGAGACCTGATGGATTAGCTGTCTTGTGAAGAGATGGCAAAGGGAAAGGCATTTCAAGGTGCATGAACAGCATAGTCAAAGGCCTAGAGAACAGAATTTTCTGGAAAACGTATAGTTTGGTGTTACCTGGGCTACAGTCTGAGGCCTGATGGGATCAGGGTGTTAGGATTAGCAGGGGCTAGGGGCCTAGTGAGGTGGGCAGTGCTTACAGATCCCAGATGCCTGGCAGAGGGCTTGGGTACTCATCTCGTGGGGTGTGGACCTCTTGGGGTGTTTACGGAGAGGACGATGAGAGGCAGGAGGTCGTGGGCTGGGAGAGGGGGGAGGTGCTATCCTTATAGAGCAGGGCCCGGGCAAGGCCTGGGTGGACCTAAGGAAGGGGCAAGAACTCTTCTGGGAGCCCACCTAGTACAAGACTTGTGTTCTGTCTGCTGGAGATGAAGGCAGAAGGTGAGAGTCAGGGTCTAGATGCCAGGAGGGTACATACTGCTCAATGGTATCCTTCTTGCTGCTACCCCTTCCTACAAAGAGCCAAACAGATGAGAAACTGAGACTCAGATTGGGGGATCACTTAGGGGCACTCTGCAGGAACAGGAGGATCTGGGAAAGGGAGTCAGTGCCTTTTGAGTATGAGAGGGGGAGACCTTCAACAAACTGGGCCTCAGTTTCCTCATCTGTTCGTGGAGAAGGGACGGCAAATGAGCTGCATTGTGCAGTTTGCTCTGGAGTTTTAGGAGGTGGTTGCCTCATGCCCTTTCTCTCTGGCAGAACCAAGGAGAGCATGTACCACTCGCTGACATATGCCACCATCCTGGAGATGCAAGCCATGATGACCTTTGACCCACAGGATATCCTGCTTGCTGGCAACATGATGAAGGAGGCACAGTCACTGTGTCAGAGGTCAGAGGGTGGGTGGGTGCAGGTGGGATGTGGGTTGGATCCCAGTGCTTACAATGCCTCTATCAGCCCTGCTCCTTTGGGCTAAGAGGTCACTTGCCCCACAGCTCAGAGCTGTTCTGTGCACCTCCTGAGGAATCTTGTTGCATGTAGGAGCCAGGTCTGACTGGGAGGAGATAAATTCTAACTGTGTGATTTACTAACTCTCTGACTTTGCAAAAGCCCTTCTCTAGATTCCACTTTTCCTCATCTGTAAAATTAGTAGGATAGTATGGACAGCATAAGGTTGCTGTGGGGACTGAATGAAAATGCCTGCACAGAATCTGGTGTGTCACTGATGCTCAATATGTGTTAGTTACTTGAGTGACCTGGATATGCCATGGACTGCCAAAAGAACAAATAGATATGTCATGGAGAAGGTGCGGCCAGAGTGCTCTTTAGAGGCAACGATAGAAAATCTTTGTCTCACATACTCTGGGCATGTTACCAGGAGTGTCTATTCCTTGGAGAGGGACATTTTGCTTGGAAAAGTGGAGGGAGGGTGAGAGAGAAAAAGATCAACCAGGTGGATTGACACAGTGACTGCAGCAGTGGGCCCTGGTATGTCAGAGATTTTGAGGATGGCACAGGACAGGACAAGGTTCAGATCTGTTGTTCATAGGGTCACTATGAATTGTACTTGACTTGCTGGCACCTAACACAACACACCTAACACCTGAATGAATGTACTGCTAGTCCCTTTGTGTACATGGCAGGTAGAATTACCTCTCAGTCTTACATATATATATGAACCTGCTCGGAGTCTGCTTTAGGTTGGCAATTCAGAATTATCAGATCGAGGCTTGGTATCCTCGCCCCCTTTAGGGAGACAGGCGTAGACCTTCCTATCCCAGCGTGAGAGGCTTGAGGAGATTCTTGGGGGCAAGAAGGACAGGAAAGACTTCCTGGATGAGGTGATGCCTGGGCCAGATATTAAAGGGGGACTAGGAGCTCACCAGAGCAAAGGAAGGAGAAGATGAGGCTCCAAGTGGAGGTGGCAGCAGAGACATGGTGTCTGAACTCAGGGATGCTGTGCAGGGTTCAGTGTGGCTGGAGAGTCCCAACGGGAAGGCAGAAATGGTCAGAACCTGTGGGCTGTGGAACCACACACAGAGCACTGCTGCATGCAGAGCGTAGTGCAGAGCCAGAAGTGTTCTGAGCAGAGGAGAATCTGAGGAAAACCCTCTGCAGACAGGTGGAGGGTGAGCAGATGCCCAGGCCTGTGTGGGCAGAGGTGGACAGCTAGGTCTGGTACAGAGAGACCCGAACTAAAGAAGGGAATACAGAAGTGGGACAAATTGGAAGCTGCCAAGAACAGCATCACCCAGACTAGGTAACTGACTGGCTGTGGGAATTGTATATATACCACAGCTCATGCTTTCTCTGGGTGTTCATTGTCCCCATTTTACAGATGAGGAAACTGAGGCTCAAAGAGGTAAACTGACCTCTTTGTTTGATCAGAATCTCAAACTCTCTTTGAGCACCAAATCCATATTCTTTCTGCTAGCACTGAATTCTCTAAAGTGTGAAGTGACCTGGCACTTGGACACCCCCTCTCGCTCACTGAATGACCCATTTTCCTTTTCAGGCACCGAAAGAAGTCCTCTGTAACAGATTCCTTCAGCAGTCTGGTGCACCGCACCACCATGGACCAGTTTACAGAAGGTATGACACTGGGGTGTCGTCCTAACCCTCCCAGTAACCCTCCTAGCGCCAGGCAGCCCTGCTCCAGCTCAGGGAGTGTAAGGGTGTGTGGGTGTGTGTGTTTGTGTAGATGGTAATTATCTCCAGCATCACCCAGGGGTCTGGCCCTGGTGTAGATGCTGGGATATGAATGGACCAGACCTGGGCCTTTTGAGGAGTGGCTCTGAGATGAGGATGTTGAGAACAGGTGAGACCAGGTACCTGACAGCATTACTTTCTGAAAAACTGCAAGTTGAGGAAAGAAGAAGCTGCCACAAGGCCCGTGTGCTTTTCTCCTCCGTCCAGGGTGCATGCAGTTAGGTTTGCTGCCTTAATGAGCAGTGTGAGGTCCCGTGTTCCCGCAGGGAGTGTGGCACATGGAAAGAGACAGCAGGCAGCAGTGGAAAAGATGGTCTGGGCTGCCGTGGCGAGTGTGGTGTCTTTGTGCCATGACCATCTGTGGTAGGCAGCACTGGATTTAGCAGTAGCCAACCATGAGCACTTTGTGGCTGGCTCTCCAGAGCAGAGCCCAATGGCCTAACTCACCGGGTGAGCCCTTAAGGCTGATGGCACTGATTCCTCCACCATACCTTCCATGGCTCCCTGCCGCCGAAGCCTGTGATCACCCCCTCCGATGGTCAAGGGCCTTGTATCTCATCTTCCCTTGTGCTCTGAATCTCTCTCGACACCACCCCCATTTCAGCTACTTGTTCCCAAATATCTGAGTTCTTGGGCTTCACTCGACTTTTGCTAGGAAGAAGGCCCTTCTCACATTATCTTTCCACTTTCCTCAAAAGACCAATGCAAATGTCCTTGCTTCTAGAAATGTTCCCTGGTCCACTAGCTGTGTTAAGCTCTTTCCCCTTATCCCCACTGCCTCTGGGCTTGCCTAGATAGCATTTCCCCCCCCTTCTTTCATTCTGCCCTGTGCATCTTGTCCAGCACTGGCTGGAGGTGCTGAGTGCACAGCATCTGCAGGATGCATGACAACCTGAACTGGGCAAAGGTGGAGAGGGGAACCAGACTGTCCACAGGGAAGAAACTTCAGCTAACGTTACCTGAGAAATGGGGTAGAAAGAGGGGAATGTGTATGGGGGTGGTATGTGTGCTGACCGGGATTCCCTTTGGAGAGCAGAGCAGGGAGGGTTTGGCCTAAGACTGCTGCCAAGATCCCAGGAAGTCAAAGGGATTTGGATTTTTCCCTGCAGAGGAAATCCACGCTGAGGTGTGCTACGCAGAGTGTCTGCTGCAAAGAGCTGCCCTGACCTTCCTACAGGTAGGAACCCACCACCTGCACAAGGAGGCCAGACATTTCGGAAACTCAGTCACCACATCCAAGCCCAAACAATCCCTTATTACACCTCAATACTCCTGAACCCTGGCCAGGCTCAGTAACAGAGGTGGTCCATTCACCTCACCACACACTGAGCTCACACATCATCAGGATGGCAGCCCCCTATGACTGCTGCTTTAGGTCACGGTCACGGTCACGCAGGACAGACAGGCATCCTCACAAAGCCTGAGTAACACTTGGTTTATTAACAAACACTGGCAGCATCTACAATCTACCAGGCTTTTTTCATTCATTACTTTGTTTTTACATTTGTTATTCACATCACCTGTTTATTTGCACAGGTGTCAGCATCTTTTCTTTCATCTTCATCTCACAGGTCTGAAAAGAGGAGAAAGAGGGAAGGAGACACTTTTCCAACTCTTGTGGTTAGCAAGTGATAGAGCTAGGATTTGAACCCAGACTCGATGACTTGGAAGTTGTGTCTTCTCTCTTCACACAGCAGGAAATTTAGTGAATCATGAGAATCAGTATTTGATTTTACAAAAAAATTTTGGGTTACAATTATGCCATATAATCATTGTACCTCCTTCCATTTTCTTTTGATGCTTCCTGCCTCATTCAGCATTGTTCCCATAGGATCTGTCAGTATTACAACTCAAGGCTTGAATTTGTTCTGCAGTTCCATTTGCTTGAAAAATTCTGAGCGTGTTCTTCCCTTTTTATTTTCTTTTTTTAATTTTATTTATTTTTGTGTGCATGTACCATCAAATCAGATCTGACTGGTACAGGAGGAGATTGTCCCTCCTTCCCCGGCAGAGCATCTGGTGGATTCGAACCGTGCGCCTCTGGGATTGTAGTTGCAGTTCCTTGCCACTAGGCCACCAGAGCTCCCCTCCCTTTTTATTTTCTAATGCTAGGTCGCAGGCGACTCAACGACACATAACAACAACAACAACCAGGTCTTTACACATTTTATCACAATTCTTTGTTCTGTCTTTGGGAGTTGCTCTTGAAATCTTCAGTTCAGCTCTCACGTCATCATTCTTTCTTCTGCTTTAACTTCTCTGTATTCTTCAGAATACAGAAACTCTTCTGACCAACATGTTAAAAGAATTATGATTTTAATGAAAGTTTACAGAAAGGTTGGATTTTTATTCATTCACTGTTGCACATCTACCTCCCTCCTCTTCCTTTCCCAGCACCAGAGTCCACTCTGCAATGCCCTATTTTTGTAGACTGTCATACATATAAGGCCTAATCACATACTCCTTTCAGACAGTTCTTTCCCTCATCTGTTCCGATGCAGTTTACACTCTTTCCTCCACCCAACACCCCCTGTGTTAGCCCTATTTTATAATAGAAGTGTTTGTTAATTTGTGATTGAGATATTCACCTCAGGATAATGTCGTTCCAGGCTCGCCCATGCTGTGTAATATTTTATGAGTTCATTGTTTTTTATTGCTGCATAATATTCCTTTGTGTGAATGTACCACAGTTTCTCTATCCATTTGTTGATCTTCCAGGCATCTTTGTCTTTCCTTCTTTCCTGTTTTCTAAATTGGTCTTTTACTTTCATAATGTGTTTTGCTTTGATCCTGAAATATTGAATGAAGGCTCACTGCTGTCAAGTTGGCACCAACTCATTGCTGACCCTCCGCTGGGTTTCCAAGGCAATAAATTGCATGGGAGGAGGTTGCCCATCTTTCTCCCTTGGAGCTCCGGGTGGCTTCAGACTGTTAGAGAGGTGCAGCCTTTGGTTTAGTACTGTGATTCCCCACAAACTAGGCCATAAAAATGCCCTTCAAATGTCATAGAAAGCGTCACAAGAAGACAGAAGGAAGAATATACAGGGTTGTTATGTAATGAAGGATTGATTGATGCTCAACCATTTCTTGAGGTAGCATATGATCAAGAACCTGTGATATCCCTGAGACGATGGCCTTTACTAAATCTTTTTTTTTCCTTATAAGGTAAGTTTTATTTGTTGAATTACTTTACTAAATCTTTAAACCAGACACTGGGACAAAACACGCATCACCACAACTGTCCCCCATGGCTCAATGTTGAGCCAAATAATGTTTTTGTTGTTAGGTGCCATTGAGTTGACTACAAGTCATACAGACCCTATGAACAACAGCTCTGAACCGTATTCATCTTGAGCCATCCTCATAATCTTTGTTATGCTCAAGTCTATTGTCGCAACCACTGTGTCAGTCCATCTTGTTGAGAGTCTTATCTCTGACCCTCTGCCTTTTCCATGATGTCTTTTTCCAAGACTTGGCCCCTCCTGACAACAGCCCAAAATACGTGAGACCAATTTTCACCATCCTTGCCTCTAGCAAGCATCTAGCTGCACTTGCTCCAAGACAGCCATGTTTGTTCTTTTGGCCATGCGTGAGGTGTTCAGTACTCTTCTCCAACACCACAACTCAAAGACAACAGCTCTTCTGCCCTCCTTATTCACTGTCAAACTGTCAGATGCATAGGAAGTAATTTAAAAGGTCATGGCTTACATCAGGTGCATCTTAGTCTTTAAACTGTCATCCTTGCTCTTTGGTGCTTTGGAGAGGACTTTGACAGGAGATTTCCCCAGTGAAACATGTCCTTTGGTTTCTTGATGGCTGTTACCATGGATGTTGATTTTGGATCCAAGTAAAATGAAGTAGTTGACAATTTGAATCTTTTTTTCATCTATCATATTGCTGATTAGTCCAGTGGTGAGAATTTTTGTGTTTTTGATGTTGAGATGCAATTCATATTGAAGACTATAGTCACTGAGCTTCTGCAGCAAGTGTTTCAAGTTTTTTTTTACTTTAAGCAAGCAAGCCTGTATCATCTGTATAATGTAGGAATCTAGACAGGCTTATAAGGTGAATAGAAATACTAGGGAAGCACACAACCCTTAGGATAACTAATCATATAAAATCAAAAGAGCAGTATTTTGCCCAAGATAAAGCCCAGAGAACAGGAAGGCATAAAATAGAAGGATTGATGGAAATGAGAATTGCAGGGAGAAAGTGGAGAGAATACAGTTATATTGTAGGTATTGTCATTAATGTTATAAAACAAGATATGTATGAATGGCTAACCATAATGGTTTATAAACTTCACTCAATTCACGTTCACACCCACCCCACCCCCCTCCAGAGGAACCTGAAGATACTCAGCTGAAAATACTGGAGGAAGAAGTCCAAAGTGCACTGAAGAAAACAAGGTTCCAGGAACTGACAGAATACCAACTGAGATGTCTCAACAAAAGGATACAGTGCTGAATACATTCGTCTGTGCCAAGAAATTTAAGAGACAGCTGACTGGAAGAGAGCTAACACTTTGTGCCCATTCCAAAAGAAAGTGATCCAACAGAATATTGAAATTATAAAAAAAATTATTCATATTGCAGTCATTTACAATCTTGCTGAAGACCATTTCAAAATGGCTAGAACAGTAGTTTGGACATGTTGCGAGGAAGGACCAGTCCTTGGAGAAGGACGTCATGCTTGGGAGGGTGGAGAGACAGCGCAGGAGGGGAAGGCCCTCTTTGAGGTGGATTGATTCAGTGACTGGGATAATCGGGATGGGTGTGTCAGAGGCAGTGCGATTGGCACAGGACAGAGCGGAGTTTAGGGCTGTTGTACATAGGGTCGCTATGAGTCGCAAGCGACTCGATGGCACATAACAGCAACAACAACATAGCAGTACTGCCTTAGCTGTGTCAGCGATATCCCAAGTAGATGATTTTTACAAATTTATTCTCTCACAGTCCAGGAGTCTAGAAGCCTCAATTTAGAATGTTGGCTCTAGACTTTCTGCTGGTTCTGGAGGAAGTTCCACGTCTCGTTCAGCATCTATGTTCCTTGGAGATCTCCATGAGTCTTAGCCTTTCCCTATGTCAAGGAGCTTCGCAGCGCAGAGACTTGAGTCCAAACATCCCCACTTCACTTTTGGAGATACTTTCTTGGTGGTACTGAGGTCTGGTCCTTTTTTGTTACTAGGCAATGCAGGCTACACCTCAGGGACCCTCTGCATACATGGGAACTAGGATGCTACATCTCATCCTAATCCTTTTACAGCTGCTTGGTACATCAAATCATGGGAGGTCATTTAAAAAGCTTCCACATTACATCATTACATACATTGCTTTTAGGAATACAGAGTTCAGTCCATGACAAGCATGTTGGTAAGGAACTGTCTAAAATTCAAACTGGATTCAGAAGAAGCTGTGGAACAAGTGATATATTCGCTGATGTCTGATGGATCCTGGCTGAAAGCATATTGTTGTTGTTAGTGCCGTTGAGCTGCAGGCGACTCATAGTGACCCTATGAAGGAGAGTCCTCGACGCTTGGGTGCCTTTCATCCTCTCTCCAGGTTCACAGGGTTTCTGGAGGCAAGCTATTACGGAAGTGGATGCCACTCCTCCTTCCAAGCTTGTTTTAGTCAGGGAGCTCCAACCTGCTCTCTGTCTGCATTGGGTAACCAGCCATTAATGCATTTGACACATCAGTGTCACGATGTTCAGCCTCACAGCACCACATATTACTGCTGTACGGCAAGTTGTACACCAGGGCTATACGACCTAAAGGAATGTCTGAACAAAAACAATGAAAGACAGGCCCAAGGGCCGCGGATTAAAAGTCACCCACCTTTGGCTTGATAGCATCGGGCTGAAAGCATAGAATATTAAAAATACCCCAAATATGTTTCTTTGTGTTTTGTTGTCTGTGTGAAGATATTTGATTATGCATATAATAATAAATTATGGAGAACTTTGAGAAGAATGGAATTCCAGAACACTTAATTGTGCTTATGTGGAACAAAGACCAAGAAGCAATCATTTGAATAGAAAAAGGGCATGGTTTAAAATCAAGAAAAGTGTCAATCATGGCTGTATCCTTTCACCATATCTATTCAGTTTACATGCTGAACAAATAATCTAAGAAGTTGGACTACATGAAGAAGAATGAAGTATCAGGATTGGAAGTTATTATTGTTAGACATCATTGAGTCAGTTGCAACTCATAATGATCCTGTGAACAAACAGATCAAAATCTTGCCACACCATCTTCATGATCTCTGTCATACTCAAGTCACTGGGTCAGTAGATCTCATTGATTGCAAGGAGACTTATTAATAACTTGTGATATGCAGATGACACAATCTTTCTTGCAGAAAACAGAGAGAAACCCTATTTGAAACACTTATGATGCATCCCCAAGTCTGTACTCTTCGGTAAGTGTTAGATCTCAACACAAAGAAAACAAAAATCCTCAGAACTGGATAAAATAAGCAACATCATGATAAATGGAAAATAGATTGACGTTATCAATGATTTCATTTTACTTGAAAAACAAATGTTATGGAAGCAGCTGTCAAGAAGTCAAAAGGAAATATGTTTGGTTTTAAAAAAAAAATCAAAAGACATGTTGCACTGGGCAAATCTGCTATCAGAGACCTCTTTGAAGCGTTAAAGAGCAAAAAGTCCCTTTTAGGATTAAGATGTTCCTGACTCAAACCCTGGTATTTTCTCTTATGTGAAAGTTGTATGATAAATAAAGAAAATTGGAAAAAATGTTGATGCCTTTGAATGTGGTTTTAATGAAGAATATTGAATATACCATGTTGTTGTTATGCCATTTGGTTGGAACTGACTCATAGGTTACCATCCAGTGGGTTTTTAGAGACAGTAAATTGCACGGGAAGAAATTGTCATGCCCTAACAAGGGAAAAAATAAACAAATCTGTTTTGGAATAAGTGCAGACAGATGCTCTTTAGAAGAGAGGGTGATAAGACTTTGTTTCATATATTTTGGGTATACTATCAGGAGGCAACATAGTTTTTCCGATCGCTTGCCATGCAACTGAGAGCTGAACAATGAATAGGGCTTTGAGTTGTTGGAGAAGAGCACTGAATATCCCAGGGTCTTGCTAAAGAACAAATAAATATGGGTGCAGCTGGAGTGCTCTTTGGAGGCAAGGATGATGAGGCTTTGCCTCACATACTTTGGGCATGTTGCTAGGAGAGACTATTCCTTGGAGAAGGACACGATGCTGGGAAGGGTGGAGGGTCAGCAAAGGAGAGGAAGACCTTGACCAGGTGGATTGATGCAGTGACTGTTGCAATGGGCTCTAATGTGTCAGGAAGTGTGAGATGGTGCAGGACACAACAGGGTTCAGATCCACTGTTCATAAGGTTGTTGTGAGTCGTACTTGACTCAATGGCACGTAACAACAGCAATCAGGAGGCAGCCGTCCTTGGGAAAAGGCATCATACTTTGAGAAGTATAGGATCAGCAAAGAATAGGAAGATCCTCAGCTAGATGAACTGACACAGTGGCTGCAGCAATGGGCAGAAGCACAGGAGGGACTGTGAAGATGGTGCAGGATTAAATGGTGCTTTGTTCTGTATCACGTGAGACTGCTAGGAGTCGGAGCCAACTAGACAGTACCTGACAACATACTGCTTCTAAAAACATAGTTCCGTTAGATTCTTGTTCATGTCTGAATAACAGATTAAGTATTGGTTGGTTTTGAGCTTCACTTGGTCTCAGTCTTTATGGACTGCTTTCTTCTCTCAGCTCAATATAGCTGTATTCTAATTCCATTCATGAATATGCCACAGTTTGTTATATCCATTTTATTGACAGTCCTTTGGGTTGTTCCTTGTTCTTGGCTATTCTGGACACTCTTGAACATGACTTTCTGCAGCCCATGGATATATGGACCTGCAGGGCAATAGGTGTTGCTGCTTCATATTACAAGTGTGATAAAAACTTACTTTTTTAATTGGTTTGCGTACAACTATTCACATAAATTGCGTTTCATTTGTGTGCATTGTGTTTTATATAATAATTAAAATACATTGCCTTTTATAGAATTAATTACTGTTCATCCATGCTTGTTATCACCCCACCTATTCAAGTCCCCATTGACTCTTTCCTATTCCTTCACTCCCTGCCCAGTAATCTCTATTGTGCTAGTTATTTTCTCCCTTTCCCTTTTTATATCCCCCTTCTCTTCCTTGTCCCCTTTTGAACATTTCTACGTATCTTACCCAGTTATCTTCCTATTTTCAGAATAGTGGTCTGAGGCAATATTTGTTCTTATGTGACTGGTCATTTCACTCAGCAAAATGTTCTCTGTTGTTGTGTACATTGAGTCAGAACCGACTCATAGCTGACCCTCCAGCTGCTTTTCAGAGACAATAAATTACACGGGAGGAATTTCCCATCTTTCTCCCACAGAGCAGATGGCAGATTCAAAACTGAGGCCTAAACTGCTCCCTAGACTCTCCCCACTGTGGCATGGTGTTCTATTGTATGTGAATGTACCAGGGTTTCTCAGTCCATTTGTTAGTTGATCGGTATTTGGGCTGCATCCATTTCCTTGCTGTTGTGAAAATGCTGCTGTAAATACAGGTATGCATGTCTCCATTCATGTCTTAGTTCTGATTTCCTTGGGATATATTCTTAGTAGTGGGATAACTGAGTTCTATGGAATTTCTGTGCTCAGCTTTTTTAGTAAATGCCAAAAATACCTAAATTTTGTAAAAACACAAACAAATGAGCAGCCTCCCCTCCAGCAGCCCCTTCACCCAGATGGAGCCCCTTTTAACTATCTGGTGTGTTTCTTCAAGTCTTTTCACCAAGAACATGACTCTGTATGAACACATATCATAGGAGTGATAAAGTTCTCTATAGTCTTTCATTAAAATCTCAATTTAAAAAAGCTGTGTTCGGCAAATAAGAACTCATCTGAAACCTCAGGAGTGGTGAGTCCTTGTTCGACTGAGCTCTAGTTCCCTCCCCTTAAGGCTGGCTCTCAGACCTGGGCACAGGAAGGGCCAGACAGGACCCTCTCAACCCGGTGGCTACCCACTATGCCAGCTCTTAGCATCTCTCCCTCCTGCAGGATGAGAACATGGTGAGCTTCATCAAGGGCGGCATCAAAGTCCGAAACAGCTACCAGACCTATAAGTGAGTGGGTTGGGTGTGGTGTGGTGTGATGGGGGCCCGCGGTTACCCTCAAGCTGCTGTATGGGTGAGAACACTGTCTGGAGACAGGAAGCCAGGATGCTGCATGACCTCAGGCAGATCTGTGCACATGCAGGACTTTGGTTTCTTGGAATCCTCCTTCCTATGCTTTTCTAGCTGTATCTATCCATTCACTACCCTGAGGCCCTATTATGTGTCTGATCCTGTCCTTGGCGAAACATACACAGATTCTGCACAGATGGCTGTGTGTGTGGAGAGGGAGGTTTGGGGCAGACACAGGGTCATCAGTTCCTGTGCATCCATGATGACACAGCAGATGTGGCTGAAATTCAGGGACAAGGAGGCTGTCATCTTGGTGGGAGGTAGAACTGGAAAGTCTGACAGACAGTGAAAGCTCTCTGCATTACCAGGCTGTTCTAGAACCCCCAGTAGGGAGTTCTGAGAGGAGCCAGGGAGGGAGCCTTATGCCTGACTGGAGATGGGACCCTGCCCTCAACATGTGGCTGAACCAGGGCTGTGTCTGCACAGGGAGCTGGACAGCCTGGTCCAGTCCTCACAGTACTGCAAGGGGGAGAGCCACAGGCACTTTGAAGGAGGGGTGAAGCTCGGCGTGGGAGCCTTCAACCTGGTGAGTGGGTGTGCCCCCTTCTGTCCCAACTGCCTTGTGGGGCCTTGACTCACACGAGGACTCTACTGAGCACTTGCTCTGCCTGGCTGTGTGCCAGGTGTGAGGCCCAGCCATTAACTGTGTTATCAGCCTAGTGTACTGGGTCACCTCAGGAGAACCCATTCTGTTTCTCCCCAAGTCAAGTGGGAAGTTTGAGACTGGCCATGGGGAAAGTATTTATGTTGTGGCAATATGTGCCATCTAGTTGTTTTAGAGGGAGTTCTGGTAGCTTAGTGGTAAGGAATTGCACTACCAACCCAAAGGCAAGTGGTTGGAATCTACCAGCTGCTCTGTGGAAGAAAGAAAAGCAGTCTCCTCCCCATGCGATTAACAGCCTCTGAAAACGTGGCCGAATCCTTCCAACTCAAGGGCACAGAACAACAGTTAAGATTAGGGGAGCTGTGGTGGTGTAGCCCTGCAAATGGTAACAAAATCACTGCTGACTGAAGCTGGGTGGAGGTTTGAATCCATCAGCTGCTCCAATCAAGAGAAATGGGTAATCTCGTGGGCAATTGACAGCTTCAGAAACCCAATGAAGAGTCAGCTCTGAGTCGGTTCCCACTGGGTGACGTTGAGTAGTCAGCAGTAGTGGATTTGGATAAAGTGACCACACATGTGCCAGAATAGAACTGTGCCCCAGGGGGTGTCAATGGCCATATTCTTCCCAAGTAGATTGCCAGACCTTTCTTCTGAGGTGCTTCTGGGTGTACATGAACCTCTAGCCTTTCAGTTAACAGCGGACTCGCAGCACAAAAATTGACAACATTCACCACAAACTAAGGATTGTACCCTGAGAGAGCTCCTTGTTAAACAGGTGGCAGAGAAGACAGGCTATAAATAACTGGTGTCCCACAGGAGATAGACCCAAGGCCCCTCCTTGGGAATGTCAGACAGCTTCCTTGGGAGGTGGGAGTAGGATGTTTGAGCTGGATCTTGGCTTTTCTGATGTCAGGGAAGGGCATTTCAGGCACAGGGAACACTGTGTACTGGGACAGGAGTCTTAGAAGAGAATAACATGCTCACAGGAGAAAGATTCAGACACCCCTGCCTTAGTGACCTTTCCAAAGGCTGAGGTGGGTATGGGGTGCCTCTGTCCTGTACAGAGAGCAGCCTTGGGGGCAGTGGTCTCTGTCCTGTGGTGGCTTCCAGCTTCCTCTTATATAATTAGTGGCAGCAGTGTTCCTGGTCCAGAAGCTGAGAAATAAAAGCTGCAGCACAGTACACTGGATGCTCTAATAGGTCATGGCTGGACCATCTCAAGTTCAAGGAGTAGCTCCACCTCTTATAAGACCTGGGACCTTGGATAAGTCCCCTCACCTATCCATACCTCAGTTTCACATCTGTTAAATGAAACAGTGTAGGTACAGTGGTAGGATTCTTGCCTTCCATGTAGGAGACCCAGGTTTGATCTTGGGCAGTGCACCTCAAGCACAGCCACCACCCATGCTGAACAGCTTACAGCAAAGTGTCCAGACAAAGCAGACTAGGAAGAAAGGCCTGGCAACCTACATCTCAAAAATCAGCCAATAAAAACCTTATGGCTCACAATGGTCCAATCCTATTCACCGTGAGTTGGGGCTGACTTGAAGGCAACAAACAGCAGCAATCCCGTTAGGATCAAACACCATGACAGAGCGCCTGGCATGAAGTGAGGGTTTGGTACAAGAACAGTGACAACAATGCATGTAGTTAACACCTACATGCAGGTCCTGTTCTATGTGCTTTATGTATATTAAATTTTTTCCCTGTCTGGGTAATACCCCTACGAGGCAGAGGCTACTCCATTTTTCAGATGACAAAAGTGAAAGAGAGAGAGGATAAGCAGCTTGCCCACTGGGACCCACTGGGTGGTGACGCTGGAATTCAGACATGGGCAGTGTGCCCCAGCTCACGCTTTGTGCCTCTTCCTGGGCTAGCTTGTAGGCCAGAAAGCCTGAGCATCCTCGTGGTGGATCTGGGTACAGCACTGCACCCCTCACATCAGCTCAAAGACCCTGGGAGGTTTGGGGTGGGAGAGAGAGAAAGAGACAGCTCCCACTGTGTCAAATGCCCACTTGCCCCTGTTCCTGCAGACGCTATCCATGCTTCCTACCAGGATCCTACGACTGCTGGAGTTCGTGGGGTTTTCAGGAAACAAGGTAACTGCCTGCCTCTTGGCCTGCCCTGACCCTCTCAGCCCCAGGACTGCAGCCAGATGTCCAGGGTGAAGGCGACGTGTTACAGGCCTAGGTGCCAGTCTTGGTTCAGCCCCCATCACCATGTGACCCTAGACAAGGTTCATTCCCCTCTCCAGTCAAATGCAGTGCCCACAAACCATGTTCTCTGAGCGTGACAGATGCCAGGACCCTCTGATGACACTTTATGACCTTGAGCCACCTTTACTTTCGAGACCTTTCCTCTGAACTTGTCTTCTGGGGCTGTCCCTCCTCTGAGAGATAGATGGTCAGGGGAGTCCCTAGTAAGCATTTGGCCTTGGTGGGGAGCAGGAGGGAAGAGGGAACTCCAGCACTTACAGCCCCCCACAGCCTTTGCCAAGAGAAGGAATCTGAGTTTGATGTGGGAACCCCATTAGACAATAGCAGATCAGAGAGGACTTCCTGATGGAGGCAGTCTGGAATAGAGCAGCCCTGGTGAGAAGGCAGGACACCTGGGCCAGTCCAGTTTCATCTCTGCTCCCTGTGACCCTGGACAAAGCCCTCCTTCCTTTAGATTTTTTTTTTTTCAAAACAAGGGATTGGAACAGATAGATCAGTGCTTCCCAAACTTGCAATTTCTCCATCCCTTTCTGGTTTTTGTCATATCCACTGCAGATCTTTGTATTATTGACTTACAGATTTTTTCCACCTCCAAAGTAACTCATAATTTTTATTTCACTTTGTAGAAGATCTATAATTACTGCACATGATAAGCTCATATTATGTAGTATGATAGGAAAGCAATCATTAAAAGAAATACTGGAAGACCACCCTATCTTAAGACAGCCCAGCCGGGTTGCATGGTCGGTTGAGACTGCTTCTCTTTTTGAGGGAAATGGAGTTTAGAAGAGAGACCTTGAAAACTGAGGCATCTCTTGGACACCATAGGACAGAAAAGGGACGGCCTTTACTGTGACTCAGTGTGTCCCAGGGCCTGTTCATGGGCCCCTGAGGTGGGCTCAGTTGCCATCTGTGGTCAGTAGTCATGCCTAGGGAAACTGACCAGGGGCACCAAAGGTTCCTTTTGATTTTGTTTTTTTAAGAAGTCCCTGAGAAATGAGTAGAATTTTGGGACAATGACAGAAGGAAACACCGTGAGAGAAGGCCTGTAGGTGAGAGAGCATACCCACTTGACAGAGAAGAGAAGGGCTGTGAGGGCCACTGCCTCCTTTCCCGTCTTCATCCTAGAGGTGGGGAGCTGTGGAAGGAGGACCAGGCAGGTGAGGTTTATGTTTTAGGTAGAACCGTGTGGAGGACAGACAGGGCCCAGACCGAGGCAGGGGAACAAGTGGTGTCAGGCCCGTGACTCCTCTCCAGAAGAGCCGTGAGCTCTTCCCCCAGGAAGCCTCTCCAGACCCTCATGGCCCCGGTAACTGAGCTGGGGCTGGATGTGCTTCCTTGTTGTTCCTCCTCTTCACCAGGCTGGGGCTGCTGTCCAGGTGGCCACCACAGGGTGGTAGCAGGGCTAGGGATCTCGGTGAATAGAGAGAGGGGCTGCTGAGGAACTGGTGGGCAGACTTTTGCCATGGCCGTCTTGGACCTCAGCCTTGACCTATGGGATTCCGGGCTCGTGGTCCTGTCCTCTCCTGTGAGGTTCTCGACAGCCCTGAGTTTCCTGGGATGGGCCCAGGGAGCCTATGCCTCTCCTGCCTCAGTGTCGTCCCCCCTACCCTCCTTCCCATTCCTGTATCCCCAGGACTATGGGCTGCTGCAGTTGGAGGAGGGCGCTTCAGGACACAGCTTCCGTGCGGTGCTCTGCGTCATGCTGCTGCTCTGCTACCACACTTTCCTCACCTTTGTGCTTGGTAGGAGCCCCAAGGGCCAAGGGGAGGGCTGGGCCCCTGGGCTGCGGTCAGCTCTGAGAGCAGGGGTGAGGGCGCAGAGACTGAGGGGTGATACTGAACCAGAAGCAACACAGCTGCATCAACTATCCTGAGGCCTATCCTGATGTTACTGGCCTCAGTTTTCACATCTGTGAAATAGAGATGGCTGTGCTCACCTTGGAGAGCTTTTGAGGATGCAGGAGGTAGCCCCTTGTGGTTCTGGATAAAGCCTCGGTGAACGTGGGCCCCTACTTATGGGCCTGTGAGGTACCAGGGTGAAAGCCGCACTCTCTTCTTTACTCCTCACATTACCTGGAGACGGGAAGTGTTTCTCTCCTTAGTTCACAGAGGGAGGAAATGGAGGTCTTGAGAGGTCCCTTGGTCAGCTGCTGGATGGATAGCAGGAGCTGATGGTGGTGATGTGGTGTCTCTCCACTCCCCAGGCACCGGGAATGTTAACATTGAGGAAGCAGAGAAGCTCTTGAAGCCGTACCTGAAGCGCTACCCTAAGGTGAGCCCTGCCCCCCTGCTAGAACCCCCACCCCCATGTGTCCCTGTGGACCCACATGGAGCCTTCCATGTCTCTGTGTCCTTGCAGGGCGCCATCTTCCTGTTCTTCGCAGGGCGGATTGAAGCCATTAAAGGCAACATTGACACAGTGAGTGGTGTGAGCTCTCAGGACCCAGATGGTAGCTTCCAGGCCAGTGGGAAGTCAGACACACTTGGACATATAGCTCAGGGAGTGAGCTTACTGGGAGACAGGCCGCACAAGAGGGGCATTGAGAGGGCAGAGGTGAGAGAGGCCCTTGGGAGGACCAGGGAGGAGGTGGCACTTGTAGACTAGAATTTTGAAAGGGAATGGATGGAGGAAGAAAAAAAAATACTCTTGGCAGAGTGAATTATTTGACTAAGGCTGTGAGGTGGGAAGGGTCCCTGCTTATTAGGGCTCAGTGATTAGGCTGAAACTTGGGGAGTAGCACAGGGGTAGGGTGCGGAGTCTGGACTTCATAGGTGGTAGGGAGCCAATGAAGGAGTTTGAGATGGGAAGGTCACAGTCCTGGAAGAGATCCCCCGCTAAGCCAAGACCCAGCACAGACTGTACAGTGCGGAGTTTTGAGGTGTCTTGCTGGCCCTAGCGATGATTCGTCAGGCAGCAAGACAAAAGCTCCGAGCCCACGCAACTTCACAGACTGTTAGAATCCTTGGAGATGCTATGAGACACGGACATTACTATATCATGATAACACCAATATTTTCTACTATGTTGCTCCTCCATTATGGCACTAGTTCTCAGCTTGTGACCAGGAAGTCATAGTCCCAGGGAAGGGTATAATGGTGACCAAGGTCACCTAAGACTTGGGGTGTAGAACTGTCACTGGAGGCCAGCTCACCTTCTTCCCCCACCTCAGCCTGCCCGCCAGGCCCTGGGGAGGCCTTGGGTCTGCTGTGCTGGGGGAGCACCCCCTAAGGTATTAACAGATGGGTACCCACAGGCCATCCGGCGGTTCGAGGAGTGCTGTGAGGCCCAGCAGCACTGGAAGCAGTTCCATCACATGTGCTACTGGGAGCTGATGTGGTGCTTCACTTACAAGAGCCAGTGGAAGATGGCTTACTTCTACGCTGACCTTCTCAGCAAGGAGAACTCCTGGTCTAAGGTGAGCTACCACCACATGCTGGGGGCCCTGGGGCCATGGGCAAACCTGGACTGAGCATAAGTCCCCAGACCAAGGTCCAAATCGCTAACTGAACACCAATATCAGCTGAAATATAAACAGAACCCTAAATTGTAGCAAGATTCAGGCTAGAAAATCCTGAGCAGAGGAACCTGAGAATTTCTGCGTGTTGGATTTTGGTCACCAGGGCTCACACATGGACCCAATACCTATGGGCTTGTGCCGGCCAGTGGAACTCTATGCTGTGGTAGAAAACTTCTATTTCTGCCCTATCCAATATGGTGGCCACTAGCCACAGATGCACAGTGAACGCCAGTTAACGTGACCAGTACTACTGAGAAATAGAATGTGAAATTAAATTTCATTTTAATTTAAATAATACACATGTAGCTGGTAATGGCTATATGACTGTGCAGTTTTAAAGGCACATAGAAACTGGGAATTCTAGACACTTCTGAATTCAGGTAGGGCAGGATCCAGAAATTCAAATTATGGCATCTGGCCTTAGTCCTTCCACTTATAGCTGTGCTTGTCCCTGAGGCATCTTTGTTGTATAGACAGGATTCAACCCACAAGCCTGAGGATCTTATTGGTCTGGTTTAAGTGACATATCAGTGTTTGGAAACAGAAGGGCTGAGAAGATTCCTTGTGGACTGAGAGTGAAAGAATGGGAGGCTCCCTTGGAAGAAAAAATGAGATGATTTTCCCAAAAGCAGTATGAATATGTGTAGAGGGGCATTCAAGAGATGCCATGGACGTTAAACAAAGCCAACAGATGCCCACCACAGATGAGAATGTATCATTGATATGGTAAGCATTGAATGAATAAAAGGCAGTCCTTATAAACTTTGATAAATGATAATAGTTATAGAAAGGCTTCAGGCCTTTTGTTGATAGGGTTGCTATGAGTTGGGCAATCAACACCAACATATAGTAGTTAAAGGTATCCTGCTGGCACATCTGTTAAGCACAGGGCTGCTGACTGAAGTAAACAGTTCAAATCCACAGGCTACCAGACAGGAGGAAGATGTGACAGTCTGCTGACTCAAAGATTACAGCCTTGGAAACGACACAGGCTGTTTGTTCTGCCTTGTGGGGGTGACTGAGTCAGAATCAGCTCCCCTGAAATGGTTTGGCTGAGTTGATACTGTAATTAGGAGCCTGGGCTGCACAGTGCTTAAACACTCAGCTACTAACCAAAAGGCTGATGGTTTGAACCTACTCAGATCTGGTGATCTGCTTCCCTAAAGATTATAGCTTAGAGAACCTACAGGTCAGGTCTGCGTTGTTACATGGGTCACAGTGAGTCAGAATCAAAACAAACACATACATACCCAACGACATCATACCTCAGCAATGGTAACATAGAATTCTGACTCCAGAATCGTAGAATAATAGGCATTAGAGGTCATCTGATCTGACGTTCACCTGGTATATTAGCACATGTGTCTAGATTACTTGATCTTTTGCCCATCAGGACATCGCTGATCAGTCTGGGCTTGATCAGTCCGGGGTCTCTTCCCCACAAGGCTGCCTGTGACCGTAGATGCCTTCTCCACACAGCACTCCAGGCAACCATCCACACTGATCTGAGTTCATTCAGGCCCAAGGTCCTGTTTGTCATCTGCATCTAATCTCTGTTCCTCATCCTCTCAGCTCTGTCTGCGGAGGTCTGCATCAGTACCCTTGTCTAGGGAGTGAGCTGAAGGGGCGGTGGAACTCAAGGAGGTCAGCAAAAGAGAGGAAGACTTTGACAAGAGAGACTAATACAGTGACTATAGTAATGGGCTTGAGCAGTAAGAGAGTCTGATGATGGTGCAAAATAGGACAGAGTTCTGATCTGTTGTTCACTGGGTCCCCGAGTAGTCGACTTGATGGCACCTGAAAACCACCACAGCAGGGTAGAAGAGATGGGTGTGGGGCAGTATTGGACTGAGCTCTTTCTTCATACTTGTCATTTCCTCCACTCCACACCCAGTGAGGTGAACACACGGGAACCACTAAAACTAGGAGTAGGTATGTGACCTTCCTAGACCACACAGCGGTTGGACTTGAAGGCAGTTCTGTGTGATTCAAAGGCTGCAGCATTTTCCCTCCTCCACAGCCTCTCCCCAGGAGGCCCATCTGGCCCTGGAATCACCCGGCTGTGGTGGAAGGTGCTTCCTCAGGCCCAGCCTTGTGGCCCCCATCCACTTCTCTTCACATCCCACTCCCAACAAGAACAAAGCCTTCAGGAACATTTTTGCGCTAAAGGCGACTCCAGAAGCCTTCTGGGGAGTGAGGCGAGCAGCTGCGTCCACCCACACGGGCAGAGGAGGGCTGGGGCCACACAGCTGCTGTGAGGGCTGAGGGAAGGCTGGGCCTCCCAGGTGTCAGGATGTGCATGCGATGTGTGATGTGCGTTCTTGGCTAAGTCCCAGCTTGACCCTCAGTCTGCATTCACTGTGTGGCTTCGGGAGGTCAGCCATCCCCCTCTCTCTCTGCACACTCAGGATTTTGTGTGAAGGTAAGGGCTGGAGCAGCCCACATTTGGGGGCCTCATTCATTCCTAATCTCCAGGGACTTGGTGTAAGTTTGCGTGCCATTCCTTCTACTTACAGTTGTCCTTGTGGAAGCCTTTCGACTTTCCCATGTGCAGGAGGTGGATGGAACCACTGGTGAAAGCAGTGTGTTAGGTGCAGGGAGCTCAGAGGTAGCCTGGGCCACCCCCTCAGGGGACCAGGAAGACTTCTTGAAGGAGAAGGAATTAAGATGGTGGAGCAGAGGAGGCTAGGGGGCACTCTAAGCCAAAAGAGCAGCTTGGAAGCTAGTGTGCTGCCAGCAAGTGCTAATATCCCCAGTGCTAAGCCTTTGGAATCACCAGTCAAGCAGGGGACTGCAAGGAGACCCTTTCTCCTCAGAGCTACTCACTATAAGCTTCTTAAACAGTTGTCTGACTTGGCACAGAACCTGGCAGGAGTAAGGGAGCAAAATTCATGTTTGTGGAAAATAGCCAAATGGGATTCCCCTCAGGCAGGGTGGTGGCCCTTTTCCATCAGTGTGTCGTTCTGACCTTCTGTGAGAGCCAGGAATCCATGAGTCTCACAGCTCTGCGTCACTGGTCACTGTATGCATCAAAACTGGAGGCCCATCTGAGGGTGAGCCGCCTGGGGAGCCCTGGGAAAGTCTCTAGACTCAGGGTCTGGACCAGCTGAGCCAAGCAGGAAGGGGCAATGACATCTCAGGCCGAGAGAGTACAGGAAAGGCCTGGAATGGATTTGGGGAAGAATAAGCCAGTAAGGGAGCTTAGGGAGGGCCAGAAGTCTCCCGAGTGGCCTTTGGGGCTTTAGTCTGCAAGTGGGAAGCCCTTGAATGCTTATAATTAGGTTTGCACTTTAGAACTCTTTTCTTTGTGGCCTGCTATCCACTCCTCTTCACCTCCCACTCCCAACAAGAGCAAAGCTCTTCTCGGTGTTTCTGGGCATCACCATATGCCAGGTCCTGGTCCAGACTACAAAATACAACAGCGAACAAAGCAAAGACCCCCGTCTCAGAACTTATATCCCACTGGAGAGACAGACAGTAAACACATAAACAACTGTGTGTACCTTCTTTTATGTTGGGTTCCGGTAAGTGCAGTAAATACCAAGCAGGGTAAGGAGGTGGGGAGAGCAGGATGGGAGAGTGGGAGGGTGGGAGGAGGTTTGTCTGAGAAGATGCCAGAATGAAGAGCAAGCCACGTGGCTGTCAGAGGGGAGAGTGTCCCAGGCAGAGGAAAACGTAGATTGGAGGTCGGTGCTCTTTCAAATGTCTTGGGAACAGCACGGGCCTGTGTGGTTGGCATGTTGTAAGTGAGGGGAAGATGGTGGGAGAGGAAGTTGGTGAGGAAACTAGGGGGAAGATCGGGTAGGTTTCCGGCCATGTCAGGGAGCTTGGATTGTACCCTCGGTGTGAGGGATAGAAGATTTCAAAAGGGACTTACAGGATCTAATCTAAAATTGAAAAGGCCTCAGTAAAAAAATGGCCTAAAATAGGGGTTAGGAGACTAGTGGGAGAGGGGATAGCATCGTGAATCAGGGATAGAGAAGGGAGCCTGAAGCAAAGGGAAAGGGGGAAAAAAACCCCACCAAACCCAACCCACAATAATTTTTTTCCTATAAATTCTCCTGTATCGAAACAATGAGAGGCTGGCACAATAATTGGGGTGAGATAAGGGCAGTGGGGTTTCAGAGCAAAATAGGATCATAGATATCAGGGGTGAGAAAGAAAGAAAAGGCAAAGATGACACAAGTTTACTTCCTGTGATGTCACGAGGGTGAAGAACATATAGGAACAGATTTTGGTGAACAGGTTTTCTCTCTACCACACCCTACAAAACTCAGCTTTTCCTCATTTTGTAAAAGGAACTGGGAGGAGACCTGGGCTCCAGTGTGGGTGGGGCTCCTGGGTGAAGAACTGAACTCCCAGATTGTCCAGCTCACACAGGCAGGTAATAATTCCTTGGCAGCAGCAAGGGCAGCAGGAAGCCGCACAGGAACCACACTTCAAGGCTCGGCCACTGGAGGGCAGCACAGAGACAGGCGGCTCTTTTTTTTTTTACTGGATTCAGCTGTGTTGTGGGTTTTTTGTGTGTGTTTCAGTGAAATTTTATTATTTTTTATAAAAATATCTTTGTAGTTAGTTATAAAAATAAACCATTTTTTTGTAAGCCCAGCGTGCTGCATCAATATACCAATAAGGCTACTATGCTTGTTTCCTTTTTGGTTTTGTTGTTGTTATGTGCCGTCGAGTCGTTTCCGACTCATAAGCGACCCTATGCACAACAGCCCTAAATCCTGCTCTATCCTGCGCCAACCGCACTGCCTCTGACACACCCATCCCGATTACCCCAGTCACCGAATCAATCCATCTCATAGAGGGTCTTCCCCT